GTTTGCCTTCCTGCTCATTATCAGGCTGAGAACTGTCCTCTTCTCTGAGTCAATTTGCACCTGCAACTGGCTAGTGTTGCAACCTAGAGCAGGAAACGAGACCCTAAGACAACAACCCACCACACTTGACTGTGGGGAAAAACGATCCCTTTTTATTGATGAAAAATTGTTACAAAATGTTGCATCCCAGTTCAAGAAATGAGACCATAAGATTAAATCCACCACACTGGACTGTAGGAAAAGCAATCCTTGTTTATTGATGAAAAATTGGTTACAAAAGAAAGGTAAATGCAAAGTCAAAAAAGCCACAGAAAAATACAGCAGTCAGTATAATCTCTGAACTTGAGCAAAATTTCAAAAGCCACAATACAAGAACCAGGAACCTGTTAGCCTTTTACTAACCATGAACTTGATAACTAGAAGCCTCTGGGATTACCGGCCATGGAACACAGGAATTCTGCCAAGGCACAGCCACAGTCCCAAACGTTGCTTGATCTAAAGAGGCACCCGGCAGGAGGCCTCTTAAACCAAAGAAGATATTCTTTGAAACGCCCCTTGACTTTGAAGCCTGGGCCTGTCTCTCCTGTAAACGATGTGATCTTCGTAGAAACTGGGAAACATTTCTGTCTCTAACTATCTGTTATCTTTGGTCCTCATTAAAAACCCCAGGTGGAGAGATATCACAGCTAGCTTCCAAAACATTTTCCTCCAGCCGTTGAGTTTCATTTTCATCGCCGCTGACCTCAGCATCAACAACAGATTCCACACTGTCAGGTTCAGGGAGAGCTTGCTCAGTTGGAAAAACTATCAGAGAATCCAGTTCACACAGATCAGGATCAGGCTGAACCCCAATACAAAACAGAAGAAAATGCAAAGTCAAAAAGCCACAGTAAAAATCAGCAATCACAAATATCCATGAACTAGATCAAAAACCAAAAGCAACTCTGTAAAATCCTGGAACCTGTTAGCAATCCACTAACCGTACTTGGAGCACTGGAAGCCTCTTGGGATGAAGGCCATGGGAAACGGGAGATCTGCCAAGGTAATGCCTCAGTCTAAAACGATGCCTGATCTAAAGAGTAAACCCAGCGAGAGGCACTTAAAACCGAGGAATCTGTTTCGTGACACGCCTCCAGGCTTTGAAGCCCTTGTTTCTTTTTCTTTTAATCTGGTTGACCTTCGCAGACTCTGCGATTCACCCGTTTTGCCAAATCTGTCCTCTTCTATCCTCATTAAGGATCCCAGGTGTTAGCTGCTCTGGGAGCTATCACTGCTTGGCTCTGAAACATTCTCATGAGAATGTGTACTTTCACTTTCCAAGCCTTCCAAGCCTGCAGGAGTTTCTTCTACACTGACCTCAGAATCAACATTTTCATTAGCATCAGGAGCATCAGGAAATACAATCAGAGAATCAGGTTCAGGTTCACACCCAGGCTGAACCCCAACACATTGCCAGGGCTCTGCCTTATTTAGGTAGAGATGAATCAAACTCCCAGTTTTATCAAACGGTTTAATTAAAACAGCAGTTACTTGCTGGCTGTTTTTATAATTCAAAATATAAAACACAAAGATAGCACTCAGCTACAGAATAAACAAAAACTGATAGCAAAAATAACTTCATAGTCAAAAGGGTCCAGTCCAGTGATCAAATGCCAAGAGTTCAATAAACAAAGTCCAGGGATCAAGAGTCTATACCGTAGTCAAAAGCCAGTCCAAAGGTTAAAGGTTCRGGGATTCCAAGATTACAGGAGACAGATCAGGATACCAAAAATCCAACAGACCTGGGGGGAAAACCAGCAGCATCCACCACCAAAATYCAACAGATACTTTTCTCCCAAAGATCAGTCTCAAGGTTAGCTCCTTAAATCCAGTAACAACCAGCTGCAACCCATCTCCTGCACACCTCCACCCCTAATTGCTTTCACCCATGAACTCCCACTTACAGATTACCAAACCCTCTAGYACAGTGTTTCTCAACCTGGGGGTCGGGACCCCTGAGGGGGTCGTGAGGGGGTGTCAGAGGGGTCGCCAAAGACCATTAGAAAACACAGTATTTTCTGTTAGTATGGGGGTTCTGTGTGCCAAGTTTGGTGGAGTTCAGAATACTCTTTGATTGTAGGTGATCCCAGTAACTACAACTTTCAAAGGTCAAGGTCTATTTTCCCAAACTCAACCAYTGTTCACATTTGGTCATATTGAGTATTCGTGCCAAGTTTGGTCCATATCCACCATTGTTTGAGTCCACAGTGATCTCTGGATGCAGGTGAACGACAACTCCAAAACTCAAGGTCAATTCTCATAAACCTTTCCAGTATTTTCTGTTGGACATGGTAGTTTGGTTAAATTCCATCATTGGTGGAGTTCAGGATGCTCTTCGATTGTAGCTGAACTATAAATCCCAGCAAATACAACTCCAAAATGACAAAATCAATCCCCCCCAATCCCCCCAGTATTCAAATTTGGGTATATCAGGTATTTGTGCCCAGTTTCGTCCAGTGAATGAAAATACACCCTGCATATCAGATATTTACATTACAAATCATAACAATAGCAAAATTACAGTTACAAAGTAGCAACGAAATTAATTTTATGTTTGGGGGTCACCTCAACATGAGGAACTGTATTAAGGGGTCGCAGCATTAGAAAGGTTGAGAACCACTGCTCTACAACTAATACTCACATTAACCCTTCCATCACCAACCATCAACTGCCGAACATAAGACAACTCTAAGCTGGAATGTGTCTAGAGGAGGGAGACTCAAATGTTCAAGGGTTTGGAAAACAAGCCCTACGAGGAGCGGCTTAAACAGCTGGGCATTATCGTGCATACATTACGATCCCTTCTTCCTGCTCCTCAAGAAGAGACCCACATGTAGGCCAGATTGCTTCCCTACAAATCTGCTATTCTACAGATACACCATCTTCCTCTGACCCTTGGAGAAAGCGGTGGGTGACCAAATTCCTTCTGTCTGCCACACTTATGGAATAGTAAAGTGTCTCTTATATAGCATATTTCTTGCTGATGTCCTTCCAAGAAGTTGTAAATGACTGACAGGTTGTTTTCCAGCTAAAACATGCTAACTCTATCAGTTCCGGACAGATGTTGACTTTCCTTCTTAAGTTATCATTGGTTTTCTTTTTTAACATAAGGAACCACTGTGTTGACTTCCTTAATTCAAAAGAGTTGCTGTCTCTGGTAATGCAAACATGTTGTTTTCCACCAAGAGTTGCTCATTTGTCTCTAGTCATCCGTGTCAGCAGTTCAGCCATTGCAGTAGTTTTTCCTTCATCAGCCTTTTGTAGTTTTCCAGGCCTCTTTGGCTTCTATAGGGCCCAACCATACTCCTTTTGTACAATTTTATTCAACCCACACATCATATTTTATCACGTATATCTATATAAATAAAAATGTAATGTTCGTTTGTGGGATTAACAGAACTCAAAAAGCACTGGATGAATTGACACCTAATTTGGACACAACACACCTATCAAGTCAAGAAGTGACCGTCACTCATAAAAATACTGAAAAACGCAGCAGAAGAGACTTAAAAAGCCAAAAAAAATTAAAAATACATTACAACGCATGCATAAAACCACATCTATATAAATAAAAATGTTATGTTTGTTTGTGGGATTAACAAAACTCAAAAACTACTGGACGAATTGACACCAAATTTGGACGCAAGACACCTAACAATCCAATGTATGTCCTTCACTCAAAAAATTGATTATATCATTTGAGAGTTGTAGTTGCTGGGATTTATAGTTTACCTACAATCAAAGATCATTCTCAACCCCACTAACAATAGAATTGGATCAAACTTGGCACACAGTTCTCCCATGACCAACAGAAAATACTGGAAGGGTTTGGTGGGCAGTGTCCTTTGGTTTTGGAGTTGTAGTTCACCTACATCCAGAGATCACTGTGGACTCAAACAATGATGGATCTGGACCAAACTCTACACGAATACTCAATACGTCCAAATGTGAACACTGGTGGAGTTTGGGGAAAATAGAATTTTGACATTTGGGAGTTGTAGTTGCTGGGATTTATAGTTCACCTACAATCACAGAGCATTTTGAATCTCACCAATGTTAGAATTGGGCCAAACCTCCCACACAGAACCCCCATGTTTGGACGCTTTTAGGGTGCGTCGTTGATTGTACTCTTTTAATTACTTTCTGTTTTGGTGCTCCCACGTTTTCATTTTGAACAGTGGGAAGTAGGGCTTGCTCATTAAGAGCCGCTTTGAGTCTTACCTCTCTATTCCTTTTGGTTTGAGGCGTAAAAGCCTTACAAATTTCGCAAGCCTGAGAGAGATGGGCTTCTCCCAGGCATGCTACACATTCCAGGTGTGCGTCGTTATCCAGTATTTTATTAGGACATAAGATGCATTTCTTAAATGAAGTAGTCATGTTTAAATATTATTATTAATAAGCTTCACATTGTCGTTGCTGCCTTTTGAGGTGGATTATAAGAACCTCTTTCAGCAGCTTATGAAGAGCACACGCCAAACTCTGCACAGCACAACCCTGATAAATGTAACAGTATCCAAAAGTCCCAGGCTCAGCCATCTCTCCAGATATAGCCCCACCAATCAGTTTAATGCATCTTATTTTACAGTTGACACACACACACTAACTGATTTCTCACATGTTCCAACAAACGATGGTGTAGACAGTCCCTGAGTTACAAACATCCTACTTACAAACAACTCATAGCAAGGGGAGAGTGGGCGGGGCCAACCACCAACATTTTTCAAATCTATCTAGAAGGTTCCGAAGCTGTCTGCTCAGGCGCAGAAAGTACCATATATGCGTATTCACAGTTGACCATGATGGGAAGGTGAGAGAAATCTACTCATAGGAAGGGAAATCCACTCCTGAAAGAGTTCTCATCATGGGGAAAAGATGTCTCCACTTAAGCTGTATCCCCAATCCTTGTTTCCACAACAAGCCAAAATGTTCAAAATCCAAAGCAAAGCATTGGTAATACAAGCAGCTGAGAACAAAGGCTTTTATTTCAACTGAACAACAAATTAAAAACAAACACGTAGTTGAACTAAGCAGAGAAACTCTGTGACCAGTTGCAAACCAAACACAATCCTGCAGAACCGAAGCTGAATACAAAGGGAGAAAAGACTTGGCAGCCTCTTGAATCATTTAGACTTAAATTCACTTTGCTTTGGTCCGACCATACTAATATTTTTGTACACAAAGCTAAAGGGGAACATAAAAGATGCCGGAAACTAAACTGCTTCAATAGCAAACATGGCTGACAGGTAAGTCTTAATACACTTAAAGTGGGCCGAACATGGCTTACATATGTTGTCACAAATTGCAAGAATTTTCCTTGTTTTTGATGGCTTACATCAGGCATAGGCAAACTTTGGTCCTCCAGGTGTTTTGGACTTCAACTCCCACAATTCCTAACAGCCGGTAGGCTGTTAGGAATTGTGGGAGTTGAAGTCCAAAACACCTGGAGGGTCCAACTTGTTGCCAGATTGACAAACGATCTATAACAAGCAAAATGGTTATTTGAAGTGGAGTATTCAATAAGGTTCTGGAGGCATTTCTTCAATTAAGGGCTTCAAGGGCTGGTCTGGATGCCCTCCAGAGTCCCCCTTTTCTTGCATTAGGAGGTCGGCAATGATGGGTAGCAAGGGCTCCTTGGCATCAGCCCCGGGGACCTTATTTTCATTCGAAAAGATGGCGGTTGGGATCTCTTCTGGCACGATAACCTCAGAAATTAGTGTTTCCCCTTCATCTTCTTCATCCTCGTTGGCTTCAGAAATCACTTCAATCTTTGGAGAAGTTTGCTATAAGTGGGAAACAAACAAGAACTAGTTAACACCTCTCAAACAGAGGGTGCCTCCAGGCAACAGAGGCCAGGCCACCTCTATGCAGATATTTATTTATTTATGACATTTATATGCCACCCTTCTCACCCCAAAGGAGACTCAGAGCGGCTTACAAGAGTTCATTCTCCCAACAGACCTCACAACCTCTGAGGATGCCTGCCACAGATGTAGGTGAAACATCAGGAGAGAATGCTTCAGGAACATGGCCAGACAGCCTGGAAAACTCACAACAACGCAGTGATTCTGGCCATGAGAGCCTTCGACAACACAATGATGATGATGATAATAATAATAATAATAATAATAATAATAATAATAATAATAATATCATCATAAGCCACCAGTAAATGCTAAAACATTTCAAAGCTCATGATACTATATTAATTTTCATCTCATTTTTCAATTGAGGAGCTTGAAATGTGGGAATATCTGTATTTTGACCTGTGCAACAAACCTATGTTCGACTGAGCAATAGCAACCGGTTGCCCATTTTGCTCTGTGATTAAGTGAAATTGACAAAAACAAGACAAGGAAAATATTTTTTAAAAAAATCACCTTTTTAGTGAAAATCTCCTCCTCTGCCAAAGTGTCGCTGGAATCTACATCTTCCAAATCAGGCAATTCCTTTTAAAAAATAATAAGTCATTTTTGATGTTTTATTGAAGGAAGTGGCTTTTTGAAGAATCATTCCTTGACGTTTTACTTTGAATGTTGCAAGCTGTGGGCCGGTGGTTTAAAAAGGGTGCTTCTATCCACCACACCATCCTTTCAAAACCCACAACACACTCCTTTGTCAATACGTACATCAAGGAAGAGTTTCTCTGGTGCCTCCATCTTAATTTCTTCAATATGTGCCGGATCAGGGAGTTCAGTAAGCTTTGGTCCTGGTGTGGCCATCTTTTCTGTTGGCATCTCTAAAGAATAAACAACATATGTAGTGCTTCCACATTTTACTCGACATGGAAATCAAAAACTGAATTGCGTTAAAGGTCTTGAGGCATTTCTGACTACCATATTTCACTTTTCTTTGGGCAAATTCATGCAGAGGTTGGCACCTTTGATTCTCATGACCTCAAAATAATAATAATAATAATAATAATAATAATTATTATTATTATTATTATTTCTATCCCGCTTTTAGGGCCAGGCTTTAGCACAGTGGGTTAAACCGCCAGCTGTAGAAAATCGATTGAAAGGTGGTGTCGTACTCTGGAACAGAATCACCTCTGACTTTAAACACACCAGCTGAGTAAAATCAGCAAGCAGTTTATTTAGGAACATATTATTGCAACCCAGAGCAGGAAACGAGACCATAAGATAACAATCCACCACACTTGACTGTGGGAAAAAACAATCCCTTTTTATTGATGAAAAAATGGTTACAAAATAGAGGAAAATGCGAAGTCAAAAAGCCAGCAGTCAAGAATATCCATGAACTAGATCAAAATTCCAAAAGCAACACTGTAAAAACCTGGAACCTGTTAGCAATCCACTAACCGTACTTGGAGCACTAGAAGCCTCTTGGGATGTAGGCCACGGGAAACGGGAAATCTGCCAAGGTAATGCCTCAGTCTAAACGATGCCTGATCTAACGAGACAACCCGGTGAGAGGCACTTAAAACTGAAGAAACTGTTTCGTGACACGCCTCCAGGCTTTGAAGCCTGTGTTTCCTCTTCCCTTAATCTGCTTGACCTTTGCAGACTCTGCGATTCACTCCTGTTTTTCCAAATCTGTCCTTTTCTATCCTCATTAAAGAAGCCAGGTGATAGCTCCTCTGGAGAGCTATCACCTTGGCTCTGCAACATTCTCATCAGAATGTGTAGTTTCACTTTCCAAGCCACTGACCTCAGAATCAACATTTTCATTACCATCAGGGAAAAATACATTTTCAGTAGCATCAGGAAATATAAACAGAGAATCAGGTTCAGGTTCAGCAATCAGAGAATCAGGTTCAGTTTCACACGCAGGCTGAACCCCAACACATATGTAGCCAAACAGTAAAAAGTAATCCACAGTAAAAGTAATCCAATTTAGTTAATCAGATACAAAGGAAGACAGGAACAAAGAGTCCAAGGAAATTAATGAAACCAGGCACTTCAATCCACGAACAAAATAGAAGCATATCCCATAGGTAAAACATGAGCTAGGCAGACCTTGGTGCATAAAACTTGGCATTATCCTGACGTTGCCTCAACTGAAGCAATTGTCTCTCACACATCATTATAAACTTTTCCCTGACTCCAAAACTGCTAGGAATGGATTCTTTCTTAGTTTCGGTTTACTAACTATTTTCTATTGAATGCGAGCTGAGCATCTTAATTGCTGCTCGTACTGCCTCTGTTTACCAAAACTTCTTTTCCTGTTCAAGGTCTCGCTCCCATCATTAACTCCTGCACCTGGTACCTCAAAGTCAGCTTCATTCTCAGATAACTGACAAGGTAACTCCATCGAAAGGCCTTCCCCAAGCCTGGGACCTTGAGAAGCCTCTTGCAGCAACTCAGGCCTCTCTGGCCTCTCTTTTAAACTCCGTTCGGACCCAAGTGACCCCTCATCCCCAAATCCACCAGACCCTGGCCCAGGAACTGAATCAACATCCCCATTCCCTTAATGAACATCAACATGAACATCATCCCCATTCTCATCATGAATATTAACATGAACATCAGACACAATCACAGGCTGATATACAACAGGTTGGCAGTTCAAACCCAGGTTGGGGTGAGCTCCCACTGTCAACCCAGCTTCTGCCCACCTAACAGATCGAAAACAGTAAATATAGGTTGCTTACCTGTAAACATAGTTTCCCGAGTGGTCACCTGTGAATTTGCACATGTGGTATATTCCTGCGCTCGCACAGGCAGCAACGGAAAGGTCTCGAGACCAATTTGACAGTTAGCGTAGCCCCGCCCACCTTCCCCGTCCATATAAATAGCCCTTGGGAGGGGCTACGGTCAGTTCTTCCTATCCGCCGCTAAAAGCAGCAAGGGAAAGGAGACCTAATCCATACAAAAAAGCACAGCCAGAAGTCCTGAGGCATGACCTTTAACAGGAAGCGGGGAGGATGGGCGGTTTGTACAAATCTGCCCACCTAACACATCGAAAACAGTAACGTGAGTAGATAAATAGATACCACTTTTAGCGGGGAGGTAATAAAAAGGTGTCCATAAGAATATGCTGGTGATTCGATCAGGAGGATGACTACGGACAACAAAGCTCCTCCACATGGAAGATGGAGAAGCAGCACCACCTCGTGGCCAGAATTGAGCACAGCCTCCAGATGCCAGAGATGGAAAAGAAGGGAAAGTCTACCTCTGTTTATGTATTCTCTGTCCTTGTTAACTGTATAATGGCATTGAATGTTTTCAGTATATGTGTTCTGTAAACTACCCTGAGTCCCCTTGAGGAGATAGAGCGGAATATATATAAAGTATATTATTATTATTATTATTATTATTATTAGAAATACAACAAGATGAGACCACAGGAGACACTCTGCTGGCTGTTGAATTGGATCACACATATTATTATTATTATTATTATTATTATTATTATTATTATTACTATTAGAAACACAACAAGATGAGTCCACAGCAGACACTCTGCTGGCTGCTGAATTGGATCACACGTATTATTATTATTATTATTATTATTATTATTATTATTATTATAAACACAACAAGATGAGTCCACAGCAGACACTCTGCTGGCTGTTGAATTGGATCACATATTATTATTATTATTATTATTATTATTATTATTATTATTATTATAAACACAAGATGAGTCCACAGGATACAAGATCACTCTGCTGGCTGTTGTATTATTATTATTATTATTATTATTATTATTATTATTATTATTATTATAAACACAACAAGATGAGTACACATAAACAAGGTTACTATTGGATCACACATATTATTATTATTATTATTATTATTATTATTATTATTACTATTAGAAACACAACAAGATGAGTCCACAGCAGACACTCTGCTGGCTGTTGTATTGGATCACACGTATTATTATTATTATTATTATTATTATTATTATTATTAGAAACATAACAAGATGAGTCCACAGCAAACACTCTGCTGGCTGTTGAATTGGATCACACATATTATTATTATTATTATTATTATTATTATTATTATTATTACTATTAGAAACACAACAAGATGAGTCCACAGCAGACACTCTGCTGGCTGTTGTATTGGATCACACGTATTATTATTATTATTATTATTATTATTATTATTATTAGAAACATAACAAGATGAGTCCACAGCAAACAAGATCACTCTGCTGGCTGTTAAATTGGATCACACATATTATTATTATTATTATTATTATTATTATTATTATTATTATTATTATTAGAAATACAACAAGATGAGACCACAGGAGACACTCTGCTGGCTGTTTAACTGGATCACACATCGGACACTTCCCAAGTGTCTAGGACTGTGTGATGTATCGGCGAATAATGTGTGCAGATCCCAGTAGGGCGGCCTTTTGCAGCTGGCAGATGGTAATTTTGTCAGCGCCATTGTGTTTAAGTGCAGGCCAAGGTCTTTAGGCACTGCACCCAGTGTGCCGATCACCACTGGGACCACCTTTACTGGTTTGTGCCAGAGTCTTTGCAGTCATTATTATTATTATTATTATTATTATTATTATTATTATTATTATTATTATGGAGACTCAAAGCGGCTAACATTAAAAGCATTACAATAAAAAAGTAAAGGTTTTCCCTCAACATTAAGTCTACTCATGTCTGACTCTGGGGGGTGGTGCTCATCTCCATTTCTAAGCTGAAGAGTTGTTGTCCATAGACACCTCCAAGGTCATGACTGCATGGAGCGCCATTACCTTCCCACCAAAGCGGTACCTATTGATCTACTAGTATTTTTTGCATGTTTTCAAACTGCTAGAGTGGTAGAAGCTGGGGCTAACAGCGGGAGCTCATGCTGCCCTTTGATTCAAACTTACAGCAACCCAATACTTTGGATGTGAGGTAAGTCAAGAGATATTTTAGCACATGATACCTTTAAAGGTATATCACAACTTGATTCTTTCGCTTCCTATTCACACTTACCCAAAGGGCTACTACTTTCAGGTCCACCCAACGGATGTTCTAAGTTTGCTGTTGCAGCCAGGGCTTCTTCGTGGGCCTCCAGGCTTTCCTTCACAAACTTCTCAATCTTCTGCTCTGTTTCCATCTTTTCCACAGTATCCAAAGACGCTACCGCATTGCTGGGGACAATGTCACTGCTTGGAGATGGGGTGTCACCTAGAACATCCCATAATAAATAGAAATGAGCTTGTTTGCAGGTAGTTCTAAATCATAAGTTCCCATCAAACAACATTATTTAATTGGTTTTTTTTAAGTACACAAAATAGTGAGATCTTGGTTCTCGCAACAGAGGCAAGGGATGCTCTTCAGGAGGAGAGAGATGAAGAAGCGGAGGAAAAGGAAGTAGTCGGAGGAGGAAGAAGACAGGGAAGAAGAAGAGAAAGAGGAAGTAGTAATCATGGAGGAGGAAGAAGATGAGTTAGAAGAGGAGGAAGAGGAAGCAGTAGTCATGTAGTAAGAAGAGGCGGAGGGAGATGAAGAAGAGGAAAAGGAAGTAGTCATGGAGGAGGAACAAGACAGGGAAAAAGAGGAAGAAGAGGAAGCAGTAGTCATGGAGAAGGAGGAGGAAGATGAAGAGGTAGAAAAGGAAAGAACAGTGGAAGAGGACAAGGAGCAGAACAAGAAGGAGGTGGTGGTAGAGGAAGAATTGGGGGAAAAGAAAAGGGGGGAGAGGAAGAAAGGAGGAAAAGGAAAAAAAAGAGGTGGTGGTGATAGAGGAAGAATCTGAAAAGGAGTAGAAGAAAAAGAAAGAAAGAAAGAAGAGGACAAGGAGGAGGTGGTGGTAGAGAAACAATTGGAGGAGGAGAAGAGAAGTAGGAGGAGTTGGTGATAGAGGAGGAATCAAAAGAGAAGGAAGAAGAAGAAGGGGAAGAGGAAGAAGAAAAAGAAGAATCCGCCTGGATGGACAAACCTTCTTGTTGGCCTGCTGATGTTCTGTTTCTTTCTTCCATGTCACGCTGCCTCTTCTTCTCCATGGCTCTTTGCCGGACGGCAGTGAGAGCATCGAGGTTGTCTTGGATCTTCTTTCTTTCTTTGGTCTCCCACGTTTCCCTTTCTTTCTTTTCAGCTTCTCGCCCCCCTGCAGCCCAGGCTTCCGCACACGCTCTGGTTGCAATAGGGAAGACGGGCATCAGGTCCTTGAAAGTGGAATTCACTCATTTCTGTGTAATTTACTTCCACGTACTTAACTAATTCAATATTGAGTAGCTGCTACAATCTGTTTGGGATCCGCCAGGAAACTGTCATTTATTGCAACAGTTCTTCTATGTGGAGACCAAAATGCCACCAGTGGGGTGGGATTTGGGGCTGAACAAAACAGTGAGGCTGAACAGAAAGCTCTCCTGAAATGTCTAGCTTAATGCTTCCAGTATTTACTGTATATACTTGAGTATAAGCCTAGTTTTTCAGGCTGAATAAGCTCCCCTCGGCTTATACTCGAGACAAAGTTATTTATTATTTTACTCTGTTATTAGTATTATTTTTATTTCATGTGTTATTTTACTCTATTATTATTACATTTACAGCATTTTACCCTATTATTATTATTAGTCCATGTATTATTTCACACTATTTAAGATTATTATTACATTTATTATTTTATTATTATTGCATTTATTATTTTACACTATTTATGATTATTATTACATTTATTATTTTACTCTATTATTTAGTATTATTACATTTACAGTATTTTACCCTATTATTATTATTATTATTACATTTATTATTTTACACTATTTATGATTATTATTACTTTTATTATTTAACTTTATTATTATTGCATTTATTATTTTGCTTTAGTATTACATTTATTATTCTACTCTATTATTACTGTTATTGCATTTCCATTATTTTACTTTATTATTATTATTATTATTATTATTATTATTATTATTATATTTATTATTTTACTCTATTATTGTTGGAAGCATACGTAAGTACATACATTGAAGATATGTAATGATTTAATCAGAGTTGGGCAGTCTTATCTCAAATTACAGTTTTATGTAAATATTCAAAAAACATTTCACCTCCTGATGCCTCAATTAATGTAATTTTATTGGTATCTATTTTTATTTTGAAATTTACCTGTAGTGGCTGCATTTCCCACCCTCGGCTTATACTCGAGTCAATATGTTTTCCCAGTTTTTTGTGGTAAAATTAGGTGCCTCGGCTTATATTCGGGTCGGCTTATACTCGAGCATATACGGGTAGTTATTAGGAGTAAAAGTTGTGATTTATTCTGTAGGTTAATTTACTAACAGGCTTATTAATCTTAAGTTAGACTATCCAAGAAAAGGTAACTACTTCTTAGACCCCCTGGTGGCGCAGCAGGTTAAACTGCTGAGCTGATGAACTTGCTGACTGAAAGGTTGGCTGTTCGAAACTGGGGAGCTGGGTGAGCTCCCGCTGTTAGCCCCAGCTTCTGCCAACTTAGCGGTTCTAAAACAATCACATGTGAGTAGATCAATAGGTACCGCTTCTGTGGGAAGGTAATGGGGCTCCATGCAGTCATGCTGGCCACATGACCTTGGAGGTGTCTATGGACAATGATAATAATAATAATAATAATAATAATAATAATAAACCTTTATTTGTACCCCGCTAACACCATGACACATTTAAAACTAAGGCCGGGCCAATGTAATGATTAAAAAATATTAAAATGCTGGGCATGGCAGGTGAAATAGATAGGTTTTTGGAGATAGGTGCAATGTGCAGACAATCTTAAATCTCTAGTAAAGTGCATTTGGGACATGATGCTTGGAGTTTCCTATTCTGGGAAGGCACACTGGAACAACCACGTCTTCAAGCTCTTCCTAAAGACTGCCAATGTTGGGGCTTGTCTGATGTCCTTGGGGAGAGAGTTCCAGAGTCGGGGGGCCACCACGGAGAAGGCCCTGTCCCTCGTCCCCACCAATCGCGCTTGCGACGCAGGTGGGATCGTGAGCAGGGCCTCTCCAGATGATTGGAGAGATCGTGTGGGTTCATATACGGAGATGCGGTCACGAAGGTAGGCGGGTCCCAAACCGTTTAGGGCTTTGTAGGTAATGCCGACTCTTCAGCTCAGAAATGGAGGTGAACACCAACCCCCAGAGTCGGACACAAGTAGACGTAATGTGAGGGGAAACCTTTACCTTTACCTTAGACCTCCTATTACCTGTCCTTTGGGAAAACGGGCCTGTCATCCAGATACGTCAAATGTTTCAGTCGGATGGTAAGTGTTCTTCTATAATTGGCAATTTTCCTAATTACGGCATTTCCCATTAAGTTCAACACACGCTGCAAAAAAAAGGGGGGGGGGACAAAATAGAAGGTAGTAGAAAGTTCTGTACTATGTACAACAATATTGCAATAAGTTTAACCTAAAAGTCATATAATCTCTATCTTTTCTTGACTTACAGCGAGTTCAGAACCAGGTATCCTGATCTATAAAGATGGTTTGCTTGATGGACTTTCCAATATCAAATGTTCTTCTCTTTCCTTCTAAAACAGTGTATCTCAATCTGGGGGTTGTTATCCCTGGGAGAGTCATGAGGGGGTTTCAGAGGGGTCACCAAAGACCATCAGAAAACATATATTTCTGATAGTCTTAGGAACCCCTTTGGGAGAGAAGGCTGAAGACCTCTCCTCCTGTCCTTCTCTTCCTTTTTGGAAACAGACAATGAATCCTCCCACCAATATCCCTCCTATGATGTAATTGGGCAGCTTCTCAGCAAAAGGGAGGGCTCTTTCTGAGACTCCAAGGGGGGAAACAGAGAGCAGGCGTACTTGGCGCATGGCAGTGTGGTGCGTGGGAGAGCGTATGAGGCTGGAGGAGGCTTGCACCAGCAAGTCCCTTCAACACATGGGGGTTCTGTGTGGGAAGTTTGGCCCAATTCGATCATTGGTGGGGTTAAGAATGCTTTTTGATTGTAGGTGAACTATAAATCACAGCTTCTACAATTCCCAAATGTCAAAGTGTATTTCCCCCATACTCCACATTTGGGCATATTGAGTATTCATGCCAAGTTTGGTCCAGATCCATCATTGTTTGAGTCCACAGTGCTCTCTGGATGTAGGTGAACTACAACTCCCAAACTCAAGGTCAATGCCCACCAAACCCTTCCAGTATTTTCTGTTGGTTATGGGAGTTCTGTGTGCCAAGTTTGGTTCAATTCCATCATTGGTGGAGTTCAGAATGCTCTTTGATTGTAGGTGAACTATAAATCCCAGCAACTACAACTCCCAAAATCAGAAGACGCTTACTTCTTGGGAGGAGAGCAATGTCCAGTCTCGATAAAATAGTGAAGAGTAGAGACATCAGACTGGCAACAAAGATCCGCCTAGTCAAAGCCATGGTATTCCCTGTAGGCACCTACGGATGTGAGAGCTGGACCTTAGGGAAGGCTGAGCGAAGGAAGATAGATGCTTTTGAACTGTGGTGTTGGAGGAAAGTTCTGAGAGTGCCTTGGACTGCGAGAAGATCCAACCAGTCCATCCTCCAGGAAATAAAGCCCGACTGCTTATTGGAGGGAAAGATAGTAGAGGCAAAGATGAAGTACATCATGTAAAGACAGGAAAGCTTAGAGAAAACAATAATTCTGGGGAAAATGGAAGGAAAAAGGAAGAGGGGCCGACCAAGGGCAAGATGGATGGATGGCATCCTTGAAGTGACTGGACTGACCTTGAAGGAGCTGGGGGTGGTGACGGCCGACAGGGAGCTCTGGCGTAGGCTGGTCCATGAGGTCACGAAGAGTCGGAGACGACTGAACGAATGAACAACAAAAACAACTCCCAAATGACAAAATCAACCCCCCCCCCTCCCAACCCCACCAGTATTCACATTTGGGCGTATTATTTGTGCCAAATTTGGTCCAGTGAATGAAAATACATCCTGCATATCAGATATTTACATGATGATTCATAACAGTAGCAGAATGACAGTTATGAAGTAGCAAAGAAAATAATGTTATGGTTGGGGATCATCACAATCTGAGGAACTGTATTAAGGGGTCGCTCCATTAGGAAGGCTGAGAAACACTATAGTTTATCCTGCCATATGTCTGTCCCCAAGAAAGTGGATATTTTTATTCTTGGAAAATAAGGTATCAGTTAAACCGCAAGCAATGCAATGGATCAGGCGATAGTCTCAGAGCGACATTCTGCTTACCAAATCAGGCATGGTTTCCAGGACATTTAAAATATTGGGATCCTCCAGCCGGTTGTGGGAGAGGTCAAGAACACAGATGCTTGGGCATTCCTGCAAGTGCTGGATGTCTTCCACCGTCTGCAACATATTATGAGCGATCTGCAGAGTGTGCAGCACTTTCAAGGAAGCTGTCAAAGAAAAACAAGACCGACATGAAATAAATGCATTTTCTCTGCAAACTCGGCAACCCTGGCAGGGTGCAAACAGCATTACTTTACAAGGCTTTCGACGACACACTGAAATTATTATTATTATTATTTCTTTCCAAAGGGATTTGTAATATGAAGTGACATGTCATTTGCTGCCTGGATTTGATCACTTGTCCATAAAGAGATGCCTGGGTGCATAATTGCATGCAGTTTCCCAAAATATAGGGGTTGAAGTTCTATAATTCAACCTAAACAACATCCCAACACCCCAATTCAGAATTATATGGACTGGACAATTTCAACTCCAGGCTGTTCAATCTATATAAATAAAAATGTAATGTTCGATTGTGGGATTTAACAGAACTCAAAAACCACTGGACGAATTGACACCAAATTTGGACACAAGACACCTAACAACCCAATGTATGTCTTTCACTCAAAACAATTGATTTTTGTCATTTGGGAGTTGTAGTTGCTGGGATTTATAGTTCACCTACAATCAAACAGCATTCTGAACCCCACCAGCGATGGAATTGAACCAAACTTGGCACACAATTCTCCCATGACCAACAGAAAATACTGGAAGGGTTTGGTAGGCAGTGTCCTTTGGTTTTGGAGTTGTAGTTCTCCTACATCCGAAGATGTCTGTGGACTCAAATAAGGATGGATCTGGACCAAACTTGGCACGGATACTCAATATGCCCAAATGTGAATACTGGTGGAGTTTGGGGAAAATAGAATGTTGACATTTGGGAGTTGTAGTTGCTGGAATTTACAGTTCACCTACAATCAAAGAGCATTCTGAACCCCACCAACGATGGAATTGAACCAAACTTAGCACACAGTTCTCCCATGACTAACAGAAAATATTGGAAGGGTTTGGTGGGCAGTGTCCTTTGGTTTGGAGTTGTAGTTCACCTACATCCAGAGATCACTGTGGACTCAAACAATGATGGATCTGGAAACGTTAAATAGCCTCTGACTGTCTGTCTATATCTGTTGTGTGCCTTTGGAATTGAATGTTTGCCATATATGTGTACATTGTGATCCGCCCGGAGTCCCCTGCGGGGTGAGAAGGGCGGAATATAAATACTGTAAATAAATAAATAGTTCTTGAACTGTTCAATGTATTGTCGAAGGCTTTCATGGCTGGAATCCTCTGAGGATGCTTGCCTTAGATGCAGGCGAAACGTCAGGAGAAATGCCTCTGGAACATGGCCCTATAGCCCGAAAAAATCCACAAGAACCTATTTCTTGAACTGCTAGGTTAGTAGAAGCTGGAGCTAACAGTGGGAGCTCACCCCACTTCCCAGATTCGAACAGCCGATCTTTGGTCAGCAAGTTCAGCAGCTCAGCAGTTCAACCTGCTGCACCACTGTGGGCTCTAAAGAAAATACAGATTTGTGCTATTTTAGTATAAGTTTTAACCACCAGGCCATAGATATTTTCTCACTACCTGAGTCTACATATTGTAACACATGTTATTTTTCTTAGATAGCTACATATCTCTAAGAATAATAACAGTAACAACTCAATCCTTTGCATTGCAACCTATGAAGTTCTTGCAGTTGGCTACAGTCATGCAGCGTTTAAAGCTGGGGAAGGAGAATCCCACAAATTATATCTACCGGATTATACCTTTCCTCAGCATTGAATCTGTTGGGTAGATGGCTGGGGTTTGTAATCCAAAATCCCAGACTTAGAGGACAGGGCCTTTTTTAGGGGATGTTGCAACTCTTACAGAGGTTTTCGATGGTTTTGACGTAATTGTTGCTGAGGTTGAGCGAGTCCAGCTTTTGCAAGTGTTCAAGGTTCTCGATTTTATGGATCAGATTGAGATGCAGGTAGAGGCAACGCAAATCGGTCTGAGTGGTGAGGTTCTCGATCTTGGTCAGGCCATTGCATTCCAGCCACAGGCACTTGAGCCCTGTATATTCTTCCAGGTTCTCCAGACGGTCGAATCCTACAGGGAGAAAGAAGGGCGGAAAAGCAATAGCGGAATTTGGCAGAAGGAATGGTCTCTACGTCATGGAATGCAGATTGTGTTCTGTTCCAAAAGATGGGGGCAGAATCATTATCAACGGGGGGAATAGTGACCAAAGCAGCTAACACCTCCCAACAAAGGATTCCCCCATGCAGGAATCAGCCAGGCTTTAAAGCTGCAGGTCCGCAATTTGGGGGTCCTCCTGGACTCAGCGCTGACGCTTGATGCTTGTGCGCCAACTGCGCCAACTTGTGCGCCAACTGCGACCTTACCTCGTGAAGTCTGACTTGACCATGGTGGTCCATGCCTTAGTTACCTTTAGACTGGACTACTGTAATGCACTCTACATGGGGCTACGCTTGAAGACGGCCCGGAAACTACAACTAGTCCAACGTTCAGCAGCCAGATTAATAACTGGGGCAACTTACAGGGAGTGGTCAACCACCCTGTTTAAGGAACTCCACTGGCTGCCATTTATTTTCTGGTCCCAATTCAAGGTGCAGGTTATCACCTATAAAGCCCTAAACGGTTTGGGACCCGTCTACCTTCGTGACCGTGTCTCCCTCCATGAACCAACTCAGGCCCTCCATTCTTCTGGGGAGTCCCATCTTTTGCCCCTGCCAATTTCACAAGCTCACCTAGTAAGTACAAGGGAGAGACCTTTTTCCTCTGTGGCCCCCCAACTCTTGTACTCACTACCTGGAGAAGTTAGGAAAGTCCCTACCTTAGAAACCTTTAAAAAGGACCTTAAAACCCGGCTCTTCCGCTGCGCTTTTGATGAACAGGTTTACATTCTCACACTATTGCTTAGCCTCAATGTTTTGTCATTGGAGTATATGCCCCCCCCCCTTTGGGGGAAAGCCTGATTCCACAACCCCCACTATAATGAGTCCTCCTCCGCAAATAATCCGTCTCTCTCTTATCTCGCCTGAGTTTTAATTAGTTTTAATCAGTCTCTCTTTTAATCATTACATGTAGCCCACCCGTTGTCATTGTGACCGTGCCTATTGTAATTTTATATTGCTATGTTCTCATATGTTTTATGTAATTATGTTGTTTGTTCTTTAGTGTGTGCGTTTTCGGTTTTATTTTATTGTAATTTGCTGTTTGGGCTTGGCCTCATGAAAGCTGCTCCGAGTCCCCATTGGGGAGATGGTGGCAGAGTATAAATAAAGATTATTATTATTATTATTCAGATACATTACATTGCTCTCTCTCCCAGTATTTTTAAACTTTTAATCTTTGCAACTGGCCCTGCCCACTGTGATCATTTTTTTTTCTTTTTTGTGTTCAATTATTGCGATTTTATATTGTTTGTTGTGCTTCTTTATATTGTTCCTTGTATTTTCTTTATTTTTTCTTTATATTTTACTGTTGTATTCTTATGTTGTATATTTGTATTGCTGTATCGTTGGGCTTTGCCTCATATAAGCCACCCCAAGTCCCCTTGGGGAGATGGTGGCAGGGTATTAATAATAATAATAATAATAATAATAATAATAATTATTATTATTATTATCAAAGCGGCCAATTACAACATTCACACTTATTGTGATTTTATATTTTTGTTGTGCTTATTTATATTGTTCCTTGTATTTTATTTATTTTTTCTTTGTATTTTACTGTTGTATTCCTATGTTGTATATTGGTATTGCTGTATTGTTGGGCTTGGCCTCCTATAAGCCGCCCCGAGTCCCCTTGGGGAGATGGTGGCGGGGTATAAATAATAATAATAATAATAATAATAATAATAATAATAACAACATACATATATATATATATATATATGTGTGTGTGTGTGTATGTATATGTATATATGTATATATATATATAATTATTATTATTATCAAGGTGGCCAATTACAACATTCACACTTGCCTCCAGCAGAGAAGAGTTCTTTCTCTCACCCTGGACATTATTCCACAGATATATAAACACCATTTTCCTAGATTCTAACGGACCTCACAACCTCTGATGATGTCTGCCATAGATGTGGACAAAACATCAGGAGGGAGTGCTTCTGGAACATAGTCACACAACACGGAAAACTCATAGCAAGTCAGCACAGCAACATCTTGCATTGCCGGAGCCTGAAACTTTTCTTAAAATGTGCACTTAAACACACTTCTGGAATGAGCTTCGTGTATTCCAAGTAGACTGGAACGTACTTAGTCCTAATCTTTTTTCATACTGGTTTTAAACCACTTCATTGGATGTGTTGCAATAGCAGATTCCCAGATTAGTTTAGTATTTACACCTTATTTTATTTTTCTGGTTATTTAATATTTAATGTTTATTTTACTTAAGTGATATTTGTCTTTACTGTTCTAATGTAGCACAAATCCTATGTAAAATCATACTACATATTTTGACATTAATATTGAAATCTGAAATATATACAGAAAGTCTTTACTTTCTGTATATATTTTCAAGTCTATTTTCACCCATGTTTTACAATATATAATTCCAAAGTGTTTCTTTTTCTATGTCAAATTATTCCGTTGTTGTTTAGCTCGCATCAATTACCTTTGTAATGGAGATACAGGGTGTCATTCAAGCACGGGGTCATGTACAACTTGTGCTGTTTGCAGACATCTCTCAATAGCTTTTTGGTCATTCTAAAATAATAACAGGAGGGGGGGGAAAAACCTCAGTCGTAGAGCACCAGCTCTGGGAGCTTTACAGCAGAAAGTTGGCTCCTAGGGCTATTTTTAAGGTAAAGGTAAAGTTTTCCCCTTGACATGAAGTCTAGTTGTGTCTGACTCTGGGGGGTAGTGCTCATCTCCATTTCTAAGCCAAAGAACTGGCATTGTCCATAGATACCTCCAAAGTCATGTGGCCAGTATGACTGCATGGAGCACAGTTGCCGAAGTGATAATCTTACCTGGGACTTATTTTTTGGGGGAGGGCTTATTTTAAGAGCATTCTGAAAAAAAATATGTTTGGGTTTATACTCTGGGAAATGAGGGATGAGGCCCCTTCCAATCTCTCAATCCTCTTTAAGGAACTGGCAGCTTTCAATAATTTTGATTCATCTAATGAAAGCAACCGAAGTGAAATTACCGTATGCCACCTCGTTTTGATTCTGACTGTTCGCTGGACGAGTCAGTCACCGGCTTCTGATCCCCATTTGTCATCGGCTGGTTTTGTGGGGACATGTCAGTCACAGAGCCACCTTTCTTCTGTGGTGCTTCAATGTGAAATGTGAAAATTAAATATTTAGATTCTTTGGGGAAGTAAATTAAACAACACAGCTTTACACAGAGAGGACACAGTGTGTAACCAATGATCCAAGCTAGAAAGGTTTCTCAGTTCTATCTGTTTCCCCAACCCATCCTGTGTCAGTCTTCTCACCTAAGCTCTGGATTTGCTTGACAGTTAGGCAAAAGGCATAGCATTAATGGGTGGCGTGGGATCGTAAGCGATGAACATAATTGTAATTGTGGGGTTATTTTGTATTTAACTGCATTTTAACATTTGTATTTTCCTAAAACAATTTAATATTTGGATTTTTTTAAAAAAAACTGGAATTTGTATTGGGTGTGTTTCTTAGGTAGCTAGCAGCCTTGAGTACTTATGGGGAGAAATGCAGGACAGAAAGAAAAAGGAGGAGGAATAGAGGAAGAGTAGGATTAGGAAGAAGAAGAGAAGAAAGAAGAAGAGGAAGAAGAAGAGGAGGAGGAAGAGTAGAGGAGGATGAAGAAAAAGAAGAAGAGGAAGAAGAAAAGGAAGAACAGGAGGGAGAGGAGGAAGAGGAGGAGGAAGAGAGAGGACAGAGAAGAGAAGGAAGAAGAAGAGGAGGAGGAAAAAGAAGAGGAAGACGAAGACGAAGAAAAGGAAGAACAGGAGGGAGAAGAGGAGGAGGAACATGGCGGAAGAAGAGGAGGAGGAAAAGGAAGAACAAAAGGGAGCAGAGGAAGAAGAGGAGGAAGAGAGAGGATGGAGAAGAGTAGAAGGAAGAAGAAGAGGAGGATGAGAAAGAGGAAGAAGAGTAGGAGGAAGAAATGGAAGGGGAAGAGAAGAGGGGGAGGAAGAAGAAGAAGAAGAGTAGAAGGAAGAGGGAAAAGAAGAGGAGGAAAAGGAAGAAGAGGAAGAAGAAAAGGAAGAAAGGGGGAGAGAGAAGAGGAAGGAACAATGAAGAAGAGGAGAGGAAAAGGAAGAACAGGAGGGAGCAGAGGAAGAGAGGAGGAAGAGAGAGGATGGAGAAGAGTAGAAGGAAGAAGAAGAGAGGAGGAAAGAAGAAGAAGAGGGAGGAGGATGAGAAAAGCAAGAAGAAAGGGAAGGGGAGGAGGAAGAGAAGAGGGGGAGGAAGAGGAGGAGGAAGAAGAAGAGTAGGAAGGAAGGGAAAAGAGAGGAGGAGGAAAAGGAGAAGAGGAAGAAGAAAAGGAGAAGAAGAGGAGGAGGAAAAGGAAGGAGAAGAAAGGAAAGAAGAGAGAAGAAAAGGAAGAACAGGAGGGAGCGGAGGGAGAAGAAGAGGAGGAGGAACACGGTGGAAGAAGATGAGGAGGAAAAGGAAGAACAGGAGGGAGAGGAGGAGGAAGAGAGAGGACGAAGAAGAGTAGAAGGAAGAAGAAGAGGAGGAAAAAGAAGAGGAAGACGAAGAAAAGGAAAAGGAAAAGAACAGGAGGGAAAGGGGGAAGAAGAGGAGGAGGAAGAAATGGAAGGGGAGGAGGAAGAGAAGAGGGGGAGGAAGAGGAGGAGGAAGAGGAAGAAGAAGAGGAGGAAGAGGGAAGAGGAAAAAGAGTAGAAGGAAGAGGGAAAAGAAGAGGAGGAGGAAAAAGAAGAGGAAGAGAATGAAAAGGAGGAAGAGGAAGAAGAACAAGAACCAGTTTGACAGAATCAGCATCTTGAATTCATAAGGGATTAATGGAAACTTGTGTCAGTTTATCCCATAACTCTTAATATTTTGTTTTTGGTCCATGAAATTACCTGGTTCTCCACTATCTGGTTCTCCTGCCCCACTCCTTTCTAACTTTAGTTCTCCATGTTTCGTATTCTTTTTCTCCTCTTGCTCTTCTTCCAGCAGCGGAGGCTGTAGTTCTAGAATTCCGAAAGATGGAAACGGGATCAGTAGATGTCTAATTATGACAATTCTGAAGAAAAAAGCAGTCCATTAGTACAGCAGACTCTACTAATACATTTGTGGTTTAGATGTCAAGATAAGGCATTCAAGTGGAAATGTTCAGGTGGGAATGCTTCACCTGGGCAAGACATAAATAAACGTTTTGTTGGGGAAAGCTACCTTCTTTCATGATGGACACAAGATGGGCCTGCCTTTGCTCTCCGGTCTCTTGGCCATGTCCTTCTTCTGCAATCCCTTCTCCTGAGCCAGGCTCATTATTGAGCGGATGCATTTCCAAATGTTCCTAAGGAAGGAAAGGAAACGAGATTTCCAAGGTCTTGATGTAATAATGTTGAATTTGCAAACAAGAGTTCAGCTTTTGGAATACTTGTATCTCTATCTCTCTAAAAGTCAAAGTATGGAGTATGTTAATTGTTATTAATTAGGATTTACGTGGATAATGGAGAAAGGCAGGGAGTTTAGAAAAGGCAGAGGAAGGAGAGACCAGATTGCCAATATCCGGATGCTGGAGAATGGAGAAAGGCAGGGAGTTTCAGGAAAACATCTATTTCTGCTTCATTGACTATTCTAAAGCCTTTGACTGTGTGGATCATCATAAATGGTGGCAAGTTCTTGGTGGGATGGGCATCCCAAGCCCCCTTCCCTCTCTCCTGAGGAATCTGTACAAGGACCAAGTAGCAACAGTCAGAACTGACCACGGAACAACAGACGGGTTCCAGATTGGGAAAGGCGTCCGGCAAGGCTGCATACTCTCACCCAACCTTTTCAACTTGTATGCAGAACACATCATGCGAGGATGTGCGGGGCTTGATGAATGCAAAGCTGGGGTGAAAATTGCTGGAAGAAACATTAACAACCTCAGATATGCAGATGACACCACTCTGATGGCCGAAAGCGAGGAGGAGCTGAGGAGCCTTCTAATCAAGGTGAAAGAAGAAAGCGCAAAAGCTGGGTTGCAGCTAAACATAAAAAAACCAAGATTATGGCAACAAGAATGATTGACAACTGGGAAATAGAGAGAGAAAACGTGGAGGCCGTGACAGACTTTGTATTTCTAGGTGCAAAGATTACTGCAGATGCAGACTGTGGCCAGGAAATCAGAAGACGCTTCCTTCTTGGGAGGAGAGCAATGTCCAGTCTCGATGAAATAGTAAAGAGTAGAGACATCAGACTGGCAACAAAGATCGCATAGTCAAAGCCATGGTATTCCCTGTAGTCACCTACGGATGTGAGAGCTGGACCTTAGGGAAGGCTGAGCGAAGGAAGATCGATGCTTTTGAACTGTGGCGCTGGAGGAAAGTGCTGAGAGTGCCTTGGACTGCGAGAAGATCCAACCAGTCCATCCTCCAGGAAATAAAGCCCGACTGCTCACTGGAGGGAAAGATACTAGAGACAAAGTTGAAGTCCTTTGGCCACATCATGAGGAGACAGGAAAGCCTAGAGAAGGGAATGATGCTGGGGAAAGTGGAAGGCAAAAGGAAGAGGGGCCGACCAAGGGCAAGATGGATGGATGGCATCCTTGAAGTGACTGGACTGACCTTGAAGGAGCTGGGGGTGGTGACGGCCGACAGGGAGCTCTGGCGTGGGCTGGTCCATGAGGTCACGAAGAGTCGGAGACGACTGAACGAATGAACAACAACAGGATTTACGTGACATTTTATGTAACATAAAATTTATATTGTTATTGTTTATATTCTTGTGTATTTTGTATGTGTGGCACTTTGGAGCCACCTTCAGAGAGATGGTGGACTATCTGCTTTGAAATGGATCATGAGTCCACACCACCATAATCCAGATTATCAAAGCAGACCATCCACATTATCTGCTTTGAACTGGATTATATGAGTCCACACTGTCATATAATCCAGATTATCAAAGCAGATCATCCTCAATATCTGGATTATATGAGTCTACACTACCATATAATCATGATTATCAAAGCGGATCATCCACATTATCTGCTTTGAACCAGATTATATAAATCCACATTGTTATATAATCCAGATTATCAAAGAAGACCCTCCACATTATCTGCTTTGAACTGGATTATATGAATCTACACTACCATATAATCCAGATTATCAAAGCAGATCATCCTCAATATCTGCTTTGAACTAGGTTATATGAGTCCACACCCCCATATAATCCTGATTATCAAAGCAGATCATCCTCAATATCTGCTTTGAACTGGATTATATGAGTCTACACTACCATATAATCCTGATTATCAAAGCGAACCATCCACATGATTTACTTTGAACTGGATTACATGAGTCCACACTGCCATATAATCCAGATTATCAAAACAGACCACCCACGTGATCTGCTTTGAACTGGATTATATGCGTCCACACTGCCATATAATCCAGATTATCAAATCAGATCATCCTAAATATCTGCTTTGAACTGGATTATATGAGTCTACACTACCATATAATCCAGATTATCAAAGCAGACCATCCACATGATCTGCTTTGAACTGGATTATGTGAGTCCACATTATCATATAATCCAGATTATCTAAGGTGATCATCCTCATGATCTGCTTTGAACTCGTTTATATGAGTCCACACTGTCATATAATCCAGATTATCTAAGGCGATCATCCTCATTGTCTGCTTTGAACTGGATTATATGAGTCCACACTGCCATATAATCCGGTTCAAAGCAGATAATCTGGATTTTATATAGCAGTGCATATAAAGGGGTGCATCTGCACTGTCGATTTAATGCGGTTTGGTGTGATTTTTAACGGTCATGGGGTCCTGGGCGTTGTGGTTCATCAGAGAAGGCTAACCCCGTTGCAAAACTACATCTCCCGCCATTCCAGAGCATTGAGCCAGTTGAAGTGGTATCAAACCGCGTTAAATCCACCATGTGGATGCTCCCAGAGTGTTTCCGAGCATTGGAGTCTCTCCCCTTCCTTTGATACCCACAAACTCTTCTCTGTTCACGCAGAGCGTTTAGAATGGAAGGAAGTCCTCTACTCCGTCCGCAGAGCCATCACAAACCGTCCTGTCCCTTTAACGGCTTTTCTGGACTGCCGTTTACCCGTTGCCATGGCGACGAGGAGTTGCATTCTGCGCCTGCGCGCTGTGGAGCGCCTGCTGGGTGTCACGTGACCCCGCCCTTGGCTGAATAAACAAGCCATTCCCTTATCATCCTGTCGCTTGGGATCCTGAAGTGTGCTACGACAGGCCGAGCTGTCACTGCCTCACCCTCTTTAACATTTTCCTCCTTTGCGTCCTTTCAGAACATATTAGCGCTTTTTACAAATAAAAAATAAATTAATCCCTCAATATAAATTTATTAAGGTTACAGATTAGGTTTTAATTCTCAAAATTATCTAGATGTGTCTAGATAATATATAGACGAGAGAGAATATGATGACACGATCTTTTTGTTCTATACCGCGTTCAGGACCTGTCAAAATCCAGGGCATCAGCTAAAGCCTGGATGGTCGGTACAAAAACCTGGAGTAGGATTTATGGATTGGACCGTTTATCTGTCCATTGGCTTTGCAGGGTGTTTGAAAAAGTCCACTTTCCATGTTTTTTCTTCCTCACAACAAGGAGGTTAAGGTTGCAGAATGGAGAGGAGTTTCCTTCCAGGCTTAAGCAATGGCAAGGAAAGACTTTGCAAAACAGAAATAGGGCCAAGCATCAGAAAACTTTGGAGTTTGCAACTGATGCAAAAGCTACCAGCTTAAAAGGTAAAATAAATGCAAAATGGGAATTATTTGCTAACTTTTTAGGAAAAAGTGCATTTCCCCTCCTCCATTCTATTCCTATATATATATTAGAATCATAGAATATATTATTTATATTATTATATAATATTGCATATGCATATTATATGTCTACATAGTAAATACCATATTATATATATTTATATTATAAGATAGATATTGTATTATATAGACTAACACATATATATATATAATCTATATTGCATAATATTGCATATTCATATGACATGCATATATATAGTCAATATAAAATGTAAAATCTATAAATATATTTATATTATAAGATAGATATTGTATTATATAGACTAACATATATATATATAATTTATATTGCATAATATTGCATATTTATATGACATGCATATATATAGTAAATATAATCTGTAAAGTCTATAAATATTATATGTTAGATTATAAGAGTGTATTATATAGCCTATCATATATATTATTTATATTATATAATATTTCGTATTCATATTATATGTATAGTAAATATATATAAAGACTACACACACACACACACACATATATGATAGTCTAAATAGTAAAATATCTTAAAATATAATAATATAATATATAAATATACTATCTAAAATTATACTATATAATACAGGGTGTCCCAAAAATCTCCATACATAGGAAAAAATCAACAAATGTATATTCTATTATATACATTTTATATTATATTTTGGATTATACATATATTTATATGTATTGTAGCATTTTGTCATGAATATTTTGAAAATAAAGCTACAATTTCCCTATATATGGTAACTTTTGGGACCCGCTATATATTAATATTTTATATGTATATCATATGTGTGTTATATTATTTTATACCTATATTTTATAATATTTTATATCTATTATATGTGTAGTATTAAAATATACTATAATAATAATAATAATAATAATATGTACTATAATATAATGTCATACATTACAATAGAATATCTCTTCTACTAAATAATACACATGCATACAAAATGAATATTTATTTATTTATTTATTTATTTGCTGCATTTGTTGACCGCCGCTCTCAGCCCTGGGGCGACTCGCGGCGGTGTACAACATATAAAAACAGTTTACAATAAAGCACAACAAGAAATCAACATATCAATAATACACACTAATCTAAATTACACTAACTAATCCGCATCGTCACAGCATAGAATCATAACCAATCTCATAGTCCATATTCCGTTCCAGTTGTCAATTGCCAGTTAATGTAGCACTCAGTTAAATGCCTTCTCAAATAGCCAGGTCTTTAGGCTCTTCCGGAAAGCCATAAGGGAGGGCGCCTGTCTGATGTCAACAGGGAGGGTGTTCCACAGCCGGGGGGCCACCACCGAGAAGGCCCTTTCTCTCGTCCCCGCCAGACGTGCCTGTGAGGCAGGCGGGATCGAGAGAAGGGCCTCCCCAGACAATCTTAAGGCCCTCGTGGGCTCATAGGCCGAGATGCGGTCCGATAGGTATTTTGGGCCGGAACCGTTTAGGGCTTTGTAGGATAACACCAGCACCTTAAATTGGGCCCGGTAGCAGATCGGCAGCCAGTGGAGCTGGGACAACAAGGGCGTTGTGTGCTCCCTGCGTCCTGCTCCCGTTAGTAACATGGCTGCCGCGCGCTGGACTAGCTGAAGCTTCCGGGCCGTCTTCAAGGGCAGCCCCACGTAGAGAGCGTTGCAGTAGTCAAGGCGGGATGTGACCAGAGCGTGTACCACCGTGGCCAAGTCAGACTTCCCAAGGTACATCTTTAACTACTAACGGTAACTGCAGGGATTATTTGAAGGCTAAGTGCAATGCTTTTATATTGAAGGATAGATTATAATTATGATTTCACGAGCGTTGTAAATTACATCTTAAACTGCAGTTTTATGGAAGGTCCTATAAAAGTATTGTCCGGCAGAGCAATGTACTTAAATGCCTTGTGCCAGCACTGAGTTGCAAAAATTACATAAAGTTTTTGTTACAATTTCTCCATGCCTCCTGGCTATTGTAGTCCTGCTAATGGGACACATGGTATATATTTTAGGAAAATAGCTGGGCTTTTCCCTCTAGAATTATAAACTGCTGAAAGTGTATTTATTTATTTATTTGTGTGTGTGTGTGTTTTTATACACACACACACACATAAATGAATGTTTCAAATAACCCGGGCATCGCTGGGTACCCAACCTAGTGTGTGTGTGTGTGTATGTATATGTGTGTGTGTGTATATATATATATATATATATATATATACACACACACACACACACACACACACACACACACATACATGCACACATACTAGGTTGGGTACCCAGCGATGCCCGGGTTATTTGAAACATTCATTTATTAAAATTTTATGAATGGTCCCATTAAGAAAAGGTTGTGGGAGAACTACAACTCACATCATGCCAGGTTAACCCCATCAGATTCCATCAATACTTAAACTTGGTCATGTTGGGCATTTGTGCCAAGTTTGCTCCAGATATGCCATTAGTCGGGTTCGGTATGCTCTCTGGCAGCAGAGTGAACTACAAGTCCCACCATGGTGGGTCTGTTCCCGTCAAACCCCTCCAGGAGGGTCAGTTGGTCCTGGGGGTTCTGTGTGCCAAGTTTGGTCCCAGCCTATTGTTGGTAGCGGTCACAGTTTCTCTGGATGTAGGTGAACTACAACTCCCATAAATCCAGGTTAGTCTCCCTCAAACCCCTCCAGTGTATTCAGTTGGTTGTGGGTGTTCCGTGTGCCAAGTTAGGTCCAGGTCCATCATTGGTTGAGTTCAAAGTAAATAAACTATAAATCCTAGGAACTGCAACATTCAAATGTTAAGATCAATTTCCCCTAAACCCCACCAGTATTCAAATTTTGGCATATTATTGGGTATGCATGCCAAGTTTGGTCCAGATCCATTATAGTTTGAGTTCACAGTAGTATCTGGATATAGGTGAACTACAACTTCCATTAATCAAGGTTAGACCTATCCCCAACCCCTCCAGTATGTTCAGTTGGTCATGGGAGATCTGTGTGCTAAGTTAGGTCCAATTCCATCTTTAGTGGGTTCAGAGTACTCTTTGATTGTAGGTGAACTACAAATCCCAGCAACTAGAACTCCAAAATGTCCAGGTCAATTCCCCCCAAACTCCACCAGTATTCAAACATAGGCATAATCAGGTATGTGTGTCAAGTTTGGTCCAGATCCATTGTTGTTTGGGTTCACAGTACACCCTGGATGTAGGTGGACTACAACACCCATAAATCAAGGTCAATTCCTACCAAACCCCTCCAATATTTTCTGTTGGTCATGGGAGATCTGTGTGCTAAATTAGGTCCAATTCCATTGTTGCTGGGGTTCAGAGTGCTCTGATTGTAGGTGAACTACAAATCCCAGCAACTACAAGTCCCAAATATCCAGGTCAATTCCCCTCAAATTTGGGCATATTATTGGGTATGCATGCCAAGTTTGGTCCAGATCCATCATAGTCTGTGTTCACAGTAGTTTCTTGATACAGGTGAACTACAACTTCTGTAAATCAAGGTCAGGCCTCCCCCAACCCCTCCAGTATGTTCAGTTGGTCATGGGAGATCTGTGTGCTAAGTTAGGTCCAATTCCGTTGTTGGTGGAGTTCAGAGTACTTTTTGATTGGAGGTGAACTACAAATCCCAGCAACTACAAGTCCCAAATATCCAGGTCAGTTCCCCTCAAATTTGGGCATATTATTGGGTATGCGTGCCAAGTTTGGTCCAGATCCATCATAGTCTGTGTTCACAGTAGTCTCTTGATATAGGTGAACTACAACTTCTATAAACCAAGGTCAAACCTCCTCCCAACCCTTCCAGTATGTTCAGTTGGCCATTGGAGATCTGTGTGCCAAGTTAAGTCCAATTCAAAGAGAGAAAGCCCGGCTGCTCACTGGAGAGCCCTTTGATTGCAGGTGAACTATAAATCCCAGCAACTACAACTCCCAAATGACAAAATCAATTTTTTGAGTGAAGGACATACATTGGACTGATAGGTGTATTGTGCCCAAATTTGGTGCCAATTCGTCCAGTGGTTTTTGAGTTCTGTTAATCCCACAAACGAACATTATGTTTTTATTTATATAGATACGCACACACATATACACATACATATATATATATATATATACGTATATACACACACATTGTTGTTCATTCGTTCAATTGTTTCCGACTCTTCGTGACCTCATGGACCAGCCCACGCCAGAGCTCCCTGTCGGCTGTCACCTCCCCCAGCTCCTTCAAGGTCGCACACACATACATACCATAAATACACCCCCCACCCACACATAAATACATGGGTGTGTTTGGGATGCTGTAGGTGCTTATTATAGATAATTAGAGAAGGCGCAATAGTAAACAGATTAGTTTCTTGATGTGAAAGGCTTGAGTGCTGAGTGTGAATTCCGACAGTGGAATACGTTAGGCTGTAACGCACCACGAGCCACAACGAAAGGTGGGTAAGAAATACAATTATTATTATTGTTGTTATTGTATTGTCGAAGGCTTTCATGGCCGGAATCAATGGGTTGTTGTAAGTTTTCCGGGCTATATGGCCATGTTCTAGAGCAGTGGTTCTCAACCTGGGGGTCGGGACCCCTGAAGGGGTCGCGAGAGGGTGTCAGAGGGGTCGCCAAAGACCATCACAGCCAGTAATTTCTGTTGGTCATGGGAGTTCTCTGTGGGAAGTTTGGCCTAATTCTATCGTTGGTGGGCGTCTGAATGCTCTTTGGTTGTAGGTGAACTATAAATCCCAGCAACTACAACTCCCAAATGTCAAGGTCTATTTTCCCTGAACTTCACCAGTGTTCACATTTGGGCATATTGAATATTCCTGCCAAGTTTGATCCAGATCCATCATTGTTTGAATCCACAGTGCTCTCTGGGTGTAGGCAAACTACAACTCTCAAGGTCAATGCCCACCAAACCCTTCCAGTATTTTCCGTTGGTCATGGGAGTTCTGTGTGCCAAGTTTGGTCCAATTCCATCATTGGTAGAGTTCAGAATGCTCTTTTAAGGTGAACTATAAATCCCATCAACTACAACTCCCAAATGACAAAATCAATCCTCCCATAACACTCCAATAAGAATACATCCTGCATATCAGATATTTACATAACGATTCATAACAGTAGCAAAATTACAATTATGAAGTAGCAATGAAAATAATTTAATGGTTGGGGGTCACCACAACATGAGGAACTGTATTAAGGGGTCGCAGTTTTGGGCTATATGGCCATGTTCTAGAAGCATTTTCTCCTGACATTTTGCCTGCATCTATGGCAAGCATCCTCAGAGGTAGTAAGGTCTACCTTTGAGGTTGCTTGCCATAGATGCAGGTGAAACGTCAGGAGAAAATGCCTCTAGAACATGGCTATATAGCCCGGAAAAACCTACAACAACCCATTGTTATTATTCTACATCGCTGCTTGGAGGTCCACTGGAGTCTCCTTTTCTGGAGTTTTTCAAGGAGAGGGTGAATGGCCATCTGCCAGGAAAGATTTGATTGTGTTTCCCTGTATTTTAGAAGGGATTGGTCTGGATGGCCTTTGGGGGTCCCTTCCTATTCTGTGATTCATTTTATTTCATCCTCAATGGAAAACCGAAACAATGTTGTCAATAGAGTTCTGAATGCGTTAGGGATGCATAGTTGATGGATAATAATAATAATAATAATAATAATAATAATAATAATAATAATAATAGCAACACTTCATTTGTACCCCGCTACCATCTCCCCAAGGGACTCGGTGCGGCTTATATGAGGCCGGGCCCAAACACAACAGTACAAGCAATAATAACAACAATACAAGCAATTATAAACACATTGGCAATAAGATAAACAACATTATCAATAAAACAACACCTAATTAAAAACAGTGGGAAGGCCAAATGTTAGGTTAAAATTGGAAATAATGCTGGGACATGAACGGAAGGTGATACTGGTGCTTGTGAAAGGGCATACGAGCAGACTTAAAGAAATGTAAAGTGCTTTGGAGGACAAAGTGCTATGGGATCATTATTCCGGGAAGGCACACTGGAACAGCCACATGTTCAAGCTCCTCCTGAAGACTGCCAGAGTTGGAGCCTGTCTGATGTCTTTAGGGAGTGAGTTCCAGAGCATTGCAGTGCACCCAAATACCTGGGAGTCACTCTGGACCGTGCTCTGACCTACAAGAAGCACTGCCTGAACATCAAGCAAAAGTGGGTGCTAGAAACAATATCATACGAAAGCTGACTGGCACAACCTGGGGATCACAACCAGACACAGTGAAGACATCTGCCCTTGCGCTATGCTACTCTGCTGCTGAGTACGCATGCCCAGTGTGGAACACATCTCACCACACTAAAACAGTGGATGTGACTCTTAATGAGACATGCCGCATTATCACGGGGTGTCTGCGCCCTACACCACTGGAGAAATTACACTGCTTAGCCGGTATTGCACCACCTGACATCCACCAGGAAGTAGCAGCCAATATTGAAAGGACCAAGGCAGAGACATCTCCAGCTCATCCCCTGTTTGGGTATCAGCCAGCACGTCAACGACTTAAATCTAGAAATAGTTTTCTAAGATCTACAGAGACACTCGCTGGAACACCTCAGCAAGCGAGAGTCCAAAAGTGGCAGGCTCAAACCCAGAACCTCAGCCAATGAGAGACTCCCCCCTGGGCACACAGTAAACTGGGCGACTTGGAAGGCACTGAACAGACTGTGCTCTGGCACCACGAGGTGCAGAGCCAACCTTAAGAAATGGGGCCACAAAGTGAGATCCTCGACATGCGAGTGTGGAGAAGAGCAAACCACTGACCACCTGCTGCAATGCACCCTGAGCCCTGCCACGTGCACAAGGGAGGAATCATAGAATCATAGAATCAAAGAGTTGGAAGAGACCTCATGGGCCATCCAGTCCAACCCCCTGCCAAGAAGCAGGAATATTGCATTCAAATCACCCCTTACAGATGGCCATCCAGCCTCTGTTTAAAAGCTTCCAAAGAAGGAGCCTCCACCACACTCCGGGGCAGAGAGTTCCACTGCTGAACGGCTCTCACAGTCAGGAAGTTCTTCCTCATGTTCAGATGGAATCTCCTCTCTTGTAGTTTGAAGCCATTGTTCCGCGTCCTAGTCTCCAAGGAAGCAGAAAACAAGCTTGCTCCCTCCTCCCTGTGGCTTCCTCTCACATATTTATACATGGCTATCATATCTCCTCTCAGCCTTCTCTTCTCCAGGCTAAACATGCCCAGCTCCTTAAGCCGCTCCTCATAGGGCTTGTTCTCCAGACCCTTGATCATTTTAGTCGCCCTCTTCTGGACACATTCCAGCTTGTCAATATCTCTCTTGAATTGTGGTGCCCAGAATTGGACACAATATTCCAGGTGTGGTCTAACCAAAGCAGAATAGAGGGGTAGCATGACTTCCCTAGATCTAGACACTATGCTCCTATTGATGCAGGCCAAAATCCCATTGGCTTTTTTTGCGCCACATCACATTGTTGGCTCATGTTTAACTTTTTGTCCACGAGGACTCCAAGATCTTTTTCACACGTACTGCTCTCGAGCCAGGCGTCACCCATTCTGTATCTTTGCATTTCATTTTTTCTGCCAAAGTGGAGTAGCTTGCATTTGTCACTGTTGAACTTCATTTTGTTAGTTTTGGCCCATCTCTCTAATCTGTCAAGATCGTTTTGAATCCTGCTCCTGTCCTCTGGAGTATTGGCTCTCCCTCCCATTTTGGTGTCGTCTGCAAACTTGATGATCCTGCCTTCTAGCCCTTCATCTAAGTCATTAATAAAGATGTTGAACAGGACCGGCCCAGGACGGAACCCTGTGGCACTCCACTCATCACTTCTTTCCAGGATGAAGAGGAAGCATTAGTGAGCACTCTCTGTGTTCGTCCACTTAACCAATTACAGATCCACCTCACCGTAGTTTTGCCTAGCCCACATTGGACTAGTTTCCTTGCCAGAAGGTCATGGGGGACCTTGTCGAAAGCCTTACTGAAATCCAGGTACGCTACATCCACGGCATTCCCCGCATCTACCCAGCTTGTAGCTCTATCGAAGAAAGAGATCAGATTAGTCTGGCATGACTTGTTTTTGATAAATCCATGTTGACTATATAATCCTTGCGGCAACACCAGAGGCACTCCAAGTGGCCAGATACTGGCCAAAGGACATTTAATCAACTACCAAACTCACAAATTTCGTATTTTGTCTGTTTGTTTGTTTGTTTTTGTTAAAAATGTAATGCAAATGCTTGGTTGCTGATGGCACAATAAATAAATAGTCATGTTCTAGCAGCATTCTCTCCTTATGTTTCGCCTGCAGAGGATGAATTGGGGCATCCATACTGAATTGCAGTAGTGGGACATTTTATATGTTTTCTCTGCGTGTGCTTTCTCTCTTCCAGAGACCCGATTGCCATGGCTGCGGTGGACAGCTTTCCCCTCCTGCTCCGGGAGATTGGACGCTCCTGCAACTCGTACATCGAGACCTTGGCTCTTGTTGGGGCGTTCTATATAGCCAAGACCTGCCTCTCTCTCCTGGGCGATGCTTACACTTTGATCCGGGTGCATTTCGTTCCCAGGCTGCTCAGAAAGGCCGATTTCGTCAAGCTGTACGGGAAATGGGCCATCGTCACAGGTGAGAGATTTATTTATTATTTATTTTATTTACTTCATTTGTTGACCGCCGCTCTCAGCCCTGGGGCGACTCGCGGCGGTGTACAACATGTAAAAACAGTCTACAAAAACATACAATATCACAACAACCGAATTACACATTAATCTAAATCACACTAATAGATCCGCGCCATCACAACATAGAATCATAGCCAATCTCATAATCCATAGTCCGTTCCAAATGTCATTACCAGATTCGTGTGGGTCTCAATTAAATGCCTTCTCGAATAGCCAGGTCTTTAAGCTCTTACGAAAAGCCATAAGGGAGGGCGCCTGTCTGATGTCAACAGGGAGGGTGTTCCACAGCCGGGGGGCCACCACTGAGAAGGCCCTCTCTCTCGTCCCCGCCAGACGTGCCTGTGAGGCAGGCGGGATCGAGAGAAGGGCCTCCCCAGACGATCTCAAGGCCCTCGTGGGCTCATAGGCCGAATGCGGTCCGAAAGGTATTTTGGGCCGGAACCGTTTAGGGCTTTGTAGGATAACACCAGCACCTTAAATTGGGCCCGGTAGCAGATCGGCAGCCAGTGGAGCTGGGGCAACAAGGGCGTTGTGTGCTCCCTGCGTCCTGCTCCCGTTAGTAACATGGCTGCCGCGCGCTGGACTAGCTGAAGCTTCCGGGCCGTCTTCAAGGGCAGCCCCACGTAGAGAGCGTTGCAGTAGTCAAGGCGGGATGTGACCAGAGCGTGTACCACCGTGGCCAAGTCAGACTTCCCAAGATACGGGCGCAGCTGGCGCACGAGCCGAAGCTGTGCAAATGCTCCCCTGGTCACCCCTTCTCTATGCTATCCTATGTTCACCCTTCCCTATGATATCCAAAGCTTATATATATATGGCTGGAGTTACATTTTAAAATGTACCTGTTCTGACTTACATACAAACTCAACTTAAGAACAAACCTACTGAACTCATCTTGTTTGTAACTTGGGGACTGTCTATATTGCACAGGATAATCATAATATTAAATAATAATTCATTGTATTGTTATCCCCCTCTCTTAATGATCCAAAGCATGTATGTATATATGTGTGTGTGTGGACTGCCTGTATTGCATAGGATAATTATAATAATAATAATAATAATAATAATAATAATAATAATAATAATAATACATATACATAAAATGTAACGTTCGTTTGTGGGATTCGCAGAACTCAAAAACTCCTGGATGAATTGGCACCAAATTTGGACACGATACACCTAACAACCCAATGTATGTTCTTCACTCATGAAAAACAACGAAAACAAAAAGCAGAAAGACGTCTAAACTGCATGTCCACAAAGGAGAAACTGCATACCCAGAAAGAGAGCCATAGCCACGCCCCCTCCTCCTCCTCGCAGGGAAACAGCAGTCATTAAAGCATGAGGAGCCGCGCGCACATGCACAGCCATGCACACACACACACAAGCGAGAGTGGGAACCATGGGAGTGGAGGTGGAGGCTTGCCGCATGGAGCCCCTTCTCTTTCCCTGCTATGTCAGGAGGGCAGTCTCCTCCTCCTCCTCCTTTCCCTATTGGAAGAGGAAGGGGCAGATGAGTGGCAGCGGCAGCAGCGGAGCCCCCAGGCAAGGAAGAAGGGGAGGAGGAGGAGGAAGACGCGAGGAAGGTCGATGGTGCTTGAGTGAAGGACTTCCCTCTCTCCCTCACTCCCTTCCCTTCTTTCCTCCCTTTCCTTCCTTCCTCTCTTTCTTACCTTTTCTTCCCTCCTTCCTTTCCTTCTTTCCCTCTGTCCTTTCCTTCCTGTCCCTCCTTCCTTCTTCCTTTCCTTCCTCCCTCCCTTCCTTTCCTCCTTTTTCCCCTTTCTTCATTTTCTTCCCTCCCTCCTTTCTTCATCCCCCTCCTTCCTTTCCCTCCCTCCTTCCTTCTCCTTCCTTTCCATCCTTCCTTCCTGTCCCTCCTTCTTTCTTTTCCTTCCTTCCCTTCTTTCCCTCCTTCCCTTTTTCCTTCCTTCCTGTCCCTACTTCCTTCCTTCTTTCTTTCCTATTTAAGATATAAATGCAATATTAAATGGAAGGGACAGTCAAGAAGTAATGAGAGAAGGAGGGAAAGAGGGAAGGAAGGAAGGAGGAAGCAAGGAGAGAAGGAAGGATGTAACCAAAGAGCAAAGAAAGGGAGGAAAGAAACAGGTAGAGATGGAAGAAAGAAGAGAAATAGGGAAAGAAAAAGAGGAAAGGAAGGAAAGAGGGAAGGAAGGAGAGAAAGAGGGAGGGAAGGTTGGCCACAGGAGAGAAGAAGGGAAAGAAGGAAGGGAAAGAAGAAAGAAAAATAGAGAAGCAAGGAAGGAGAGAAGGAAATAAAAAAGTGAAAGGAAAAAGAGAGGGAAGGAAGGAGAGAAGGAACGAAAGATAGGGAAGGAAGGAAGAAAGGAAGGATGTAACCAAAGAGCAAAGAAAGGGAGGAAAGAAACAGGTAGAGATGGAAGAAAGAAGAGAAATAGGGAAAGAAAAAGAGGAAAGGAAGGAAAGAGGGAAGGAAGGAGAGAAAGAGGGAGGGAAGGTTGGCCACAGCAACGCGTGGCGGGTACAGCTAGTCTATATAAATAAAAATGTAATGTTCGTTTGTGGGATTAACATAACTCAAAAACCACTGGACGAATTGACACCAAATTTGGACACAATACACCTCTCAGGCCAACAAGTGACCATCAACTCATAAAAACACTGAAAAACATAGCAGAAGGGACTTTAAAAGCCAAAAAAACAAAAATTACATGACAACACATGTGCAAAACCACACACACACACACGCAAACATGTATATACACACACATATACACACACAAAACACATATACATAGACTTGGCCACAGCAACACGTGGCGGGATGGCTAGTAAAAAAATAAATTATATTTGTTACCCACCTCTCCTAATGATCCAAAGCTTATATATCTCTATCTATCTGTCTATCTGTCTGACTGTCTGTCTGTCTATATGGTTGGAGTTACAATTACATGACCAAATGGGGTTGGACTATGGCCATCTGTCAGGAAGGTCTGGATTGTGTTTTCTTACATTGTGGAATGGGTTTGGACTATGGCCATCTGTCAGGAGGGCACACACACACATGTAAACACACATATATACACATATACACAAATATATAAACACACAAAACTCATATACACAGACAGGGCCACAGCAACACATGGCAGGGAACAGCTAGTGTGTGTATATATATATGTGTGTGTGTGTGCGCGCCCGCGTGCGTGTGTGTGTATGCATGTATGTGTATGGCTGGAGTTACACTTAAGAAACGTCCCTGTTTCGACTTACAAATAAATTCAACTTAAGAACAAACCTACAGAAATCTTGTTTGTAACATGGAGGCTGCCTGTATTGCATAAGATAATAATAATAATAATAATAATAATAATAATAATAATAATAACAACAACTAAGCCCTCCTGACAGATGGCCATAGTCCAAACCCATTCCACAATGTAAGAAAACACAATCCAGACCTTCCTGACAGATGGCCATAGTCCAACCCCATTTGGTCATGTAAAAAAACAGAATCCAAGCCTTTCTGACAGATGGTCATAGTTGAAATGCATTCGGCCATGTAAGAGAACACAACCCGAACCCTCCTGACAGATGACCATAGTCCAACCCCATTCAGCCATGTAAGAAAATACAACACAAGCCCTCCTGACAGATGGCCATAGTCCAGCCCCATTCCACAATGTAAGAAAACACAATCCGAGCCTTCTTCCTGACATGGCCATAGTCTATCTGCATTTGGCTATGTAAGAAAAAACAATCTAAGCCCTCCTGACAGATGGCCATAGTCTATCTGCTTTTGGCTATGTAAGAAAACACAATCTAAGCCCTCTTAACAGATGGCCATAGTCGAAACCCATTCTGCAATGTAAGAAAACACAATCCAAGCCTTTCTGACAGATGGCCATGGTCTATCCCCATTTGGCTATGCAAGAAAACACAACTCAAGCCCTCCTGACAGATGGCCATAGTCCAGCCCTATTCCACAATGTAAGAAAACACAATCCAAGCCTTCCTGACAGATGGCCATAGTCTATCCACATTTGGCTATGTAAGAAAACACAATCTAAGCCATACTGACAGATGGCCATAGTCGAAACCCATTCAGCTATGCAAGGAAACACAACCCAACCCCTCTTAACAGATGGCCATAGTCCAACACCATTCTGTAATGTAAGAAGACACAATCCAAGCCTTCCTGACAGATGGCCATGGTCTATCCCCATTTGGCTATGCAAGAAAACACAACTCAAGCCCTCCTGACAGATGGCCATAGTCCAGCCCTATTCCACAATGTAAGAAAACACAATCCAAGCCTTCCTGACAGATGGCCATAGTCTATCCGCATTTGGCTATGGAAGAAAACACAATCTAAGCCCTCTTAACAGATAGCCATAGTCGAAACCCATTCAGCTATGCAAAAAAACACAACCCAAGCCCTCTTAACAGATGGCCATAGTCCAGCCCCATTCCACAATGTAAGAAAACACAATCCAAGCCTTTCTGACAGATGGCCATGGTCTATCCCCATTTGGCTATGCAAGAAAACACAATCCAAGCCTTCCTGACAAATGGCCATAGTCTATCCACATTTGGCTATGTAAGAAAACACAATCTAAGCCATACTGACAGATGGCCATAGTCGAAACCCATTCAGCTATGCAAGGAAACACAACCCAACCCCTCTTAACAGATGGCCATAGTCCAACACCATTCTGTAATGTAAGAAGACACAATCCAAGCCTTCCTGACAGATGCCTGTCCCACAGCTCGCTGATAACGTCCATTGAGTTTCTCAGAGTTTCATTGCTGTCTTGGTTTATTTCAGGTTGCACTTCAGGCATTGGCAAAGCCTATGCCGACGAGTTGGCAAGCTGCGGGGTGAACGTCATCTTAATCAGCCGAAACCGGGAGAAACTGGAAGCGGTGGCCAAAGATCTGGAGGAATCTCACCAGATTGAGACGGCAATCGTGGTGGCGGACTTCAGCCACGGCCGCGAAGTTTACCCGTCCATCGCGAAAGCCCTTGAAGGCAAAGAGATCGGCATCCTGGTGAACAACGCCGGGGTTTTCTACGACCACCTGGGCTGCTTCACCACCCTGAGCGAGCAGCACATTTGGGACTTGATCAACGTGAACGTCGGGGCGGCGAACATGATGGTGCACCTGGTGCTGCCGGGGATGGTGCAGCGCAAGAAGGGCGCCATCGTGAACGTGTCTTCGCTGAGCTGCATCCACCCCTCTCCTGAAATGACCGCTTACTCCGCCTCCAAGGTGAGCCGCCATTGTATCTACGTGTCTGGGTTGACTTTTTGCGGATTGGATTTCCCATGCATTTTCTTTGCAGTTCTTCCTTTTTTCTTTCCTTCTTTCATTCCCTTCTTTTTCTTCCTTACCTCCCTTTCTCCTTTAGTTCTTTCTTCCTCCCCCCTTTATTTTTTTCCTCTCTTCCCTTTCTTCATTATTTCTTTTCTCCCCTGATCTCTCCCTCTTTCTCTCTCTATTTCTTTCTTTTTTCATCCCTTCTTTCTTCCCTCTCCTTCTTTCACTTTCTTTCCTTCCCTTCATACCTTTCCCCCTTTCCTTTCTCTCCTTCCCTTTCTTTCCTTTCCTTCTTTCTTTTCATCTTTTCTTCCTTTCCTTATTTTTTCCTTCCTTTTCTCCTTCTTTCTTTTCTCTCCTTTTTTTCTTTCTTCCTTCTTCCCTCTTTCCTCCCCTTCCTTCTTTCTCTTTGTTTCCTTCCTCCTTCCTTTTTTTTCTTCCTTCCTTCTTTCCTTTCTTCCTTCCTTCCTTTCTTCCTTTTTTCTCTCCTTCTTTTCCTCCTTCCTTCATTCCTTCCTTCCTTCCCTCCCTCATACCTTCCCTCCTTTACTTTCTCTCCTTCCCTTTCTTTCCTTCCTTCTGTCCTTTACATCATTTCTTCTTCCTTCCTTTTATTTTTCTTCCCTTTCTTCATTCTTTCTTTCCTCTCCTAATTTTTCTTTCTTCCTTTCTTCCTTCCTCCCTTCTTTTTGCCCTCTCCTTTCTTTCTTTCTTTTGTTTCCTTCCCCCCATTCCTTTGTCTTCCTTCCTTCCTTCCTTTCTTTCTTTCTTTCTTTCTTTCTTTCTTTCTTTCTTTCTCCTTCCTTCCTTCCTTTCTTTCTTTCTCTCTCCCCTTCCTTTCCTTCTTCTTCTTCCCTTCCCTCATACCTTTCCCCCTTTCCTTTCTCTTCTTCCCTTTCTTTCCTTCCTTCTGTCCTTTACATCATTTCTTCTTCCTTTCCTTTATTTTTCCTTCCCTTTCTCTGTTCTTTCTTTCCTCTCCTTATTTTTCTTTCTCTTTATTCATCCCTTCTTTCTTCCCTCTCCTTCTTTCTCTTTCTTTGCTTCCTCAATTCATACCTTTTCCCCTTTCCTTTTCTCCTTCCTTCCTTCCGGCCTTCCTTCCTTCCTTCCTTCCTTCCTTCCTTCCTTTCCTTCCTCCTTCCTTCCTTTTTCTACCTTCTTTCCTTCCTTTTCTTCCTTCCTTCCCTTTATTTTTCTCCTTCTTCTTTCTTCCTTTCTTTCCTCCCCTTATTTTTTTTTTCTTTTTCCTTCATCCCTTATTTCTTTCCTCTCCTTCCTTCCTTCCCTTCCTTTCTTTCTTCCTTCCTTTCCTTTCTTCTTTTATTTTTTCTTCCTTCCCTCTCTCCATTCTTTCTCTTCCTCTCCTTTTTCTTTTCATCCCTTCTTTCTTCTCTCTCTGTCTTTCTCTTTCTTTGCTTCCCTTCCCTTCATACCTTTCCCCTTTCCTTTGTCTCCTTCCTTTCTTTCTTTCCTTCCCTCTTTTTTCTTCTTCCTTTAACTCTCTTTTTCTTCCTTTATTTTTTCTCATTCCTTTCTTCTTTCTTTCCCCCCTTTTATTTTTCTTCCTTTCCTTTTTCTTCCTCCCTTCTTTCCTTTCCTCTCCTTCTTCTTTTCTTCCTTTCCTCTTCCATCCTTTCCCCCTTTCCTTTTCTCTTCTCCTTCCTTCCCTTCTTTCTTTCTTCCGTCCTTTCCATATTTTCATTTATTTTTTTCTCTTCCTTCTCCATTCTTTCTTTCCTCCTCTAATATTTCTTTCATGCCTTCTTTCTTCCCTCTCCTTCTTTCTCTTTCTTTGCTTCCCGTCATCCCTTTTTCCTTTTCCTTTGTCTCCTTCCCTTTCTTCTTCTTCCTTCCTTCCTTCCTTCCTTCTTCCTTCCTTCCTTCTTCCTTCCTTCCTTCATTTCTTCCTTCCTTCCTTCCTTCCTTCCTTCCTTCCTTCCTTTCTTTCCTTTCTCCCTTTTTTTCTCTTTCTTTCTTTCCCCCTCTTCTTCCCTCTCCTTCTTTCTCCTTTCTTTCTCCCTCTTCCTTTCTTTCCTTTCTTTCTTTCTTTCTTTCTCTTTCCTTTCTTTTCTTCTTCTTCTTCCTTTCCTTTCTTCCCTCCCTTCCTTCCCTTCTTCCTTTCCTTCCTTCTCTTCTTTCTCTTCCTTCCTCCTCTTTCTTCTTCCTTCCCTTTTATTTTTCTTCCTTTCTCTCTTCTTTCTTTCCTCCCCATTTTTCTTTCTTCCCTTCTTTCTTTCTTCATCCCTTCTTTCTGCCCTCTCCTTCTTTCTCTTTGTTTCCTTCCCTCCATTCCTTTGTCTTCCTTCCTTCCCCCCTTTCTTTCTTTCTTTCTTTCTTTCTTTCTTTCTTTCTTTTCTTTCTTTCTTTCTCCCCTTCCTTTCCTTCTTCCTTCCTTTCCTCATACCTTTTCCCCTTCCCTTTCTCCTCTCGCCTTCATTTTCTTTCTCCTCCTTTCCTTTCCCTTCTTTTATCTCTTTCGTTCCTCCCTTCATCACCTAGCAGCAATCCAAACCAGTTCACTCCCTTTCTTTTCCTAGATTTTCTGTTTCTCCTCTACCACAGGCATCCCAGTGTTCCTGACTCTCTCCATTGGTCTGCATGACCCCGCCCACTGCCTCTCCCTTAATATCCACTGTGTAGGATTTTGCCCTGGTCTCGTTGTGTCCTTGGGTACATCTACACTGGAAAAAAAAATAATGCAGTTTGACACTACTTAAACTGCAGATAGCTCGGTGCTTTGGAATTGTGAGAGTTGCAGTTTTACAAGGTCTTGGGCCTCCTGCCAAAGGCCACTGCTGCCTTATTTAACTACAACTTCCAGGATTCCATTGCTTTGAGCCATGGCAGTTTAAGTGGTGTCAAACTGCATCAATTTTACAGTGTAGATGCACCTCTACTTGAGTCACAAAGATGTGTGTTTGTCTCAGGGAGGCTGATCTGCCTGTCTTTCCCTTTGATAGGCGTATCTGGACCATTTCAGCCGAGCGCTTTATTACGAGTACGCTCCCAAGGGCATCTTTGTTCAGAGCTTGATTCCGGGCTTCATCCACACCAAAATGATCAAGCACATCAGCCTCTTCTCCCAAGAGAGCCTCTTCGTGCCTTCTGCAGAGGAGTATGCGCGCCAGGCCATCACCACCCTGGGAGTAGCCAAGAGGACCACCGGATATTGGCCACATACAATTATGGTAATATGACGTATTCCGACGTAATACCCGACGTAATACCCAAATTTGAATACTGGTGGGGTTGGGGGGGGGTGATTTTGTCATTTGGGAGTTGAAGTTGCAGGGATTTATAGTTTCACCTACAATCAAAGAGCATTCTGAACTCCACCGAAATGAAATTGAACCAAAACTTGGCACACAGGGATTTTCAGGCTTGCATACTCTGGTTGCTAGGGTTCTCTAGAAAATATTTTTTTTCATGTCAGGTGCAGCTTGAGAAATTGCAAGTTGCTTCTTGTTGCAAGACAGATCCCTTAAAGCGCCAGACCAGTATTTAGTAAAAGTAAAGTTTATTAGTTCACAACCAAGAGAGTCCAAAAACAAACCAAAAAGGCTCAAAACACTTATTCTTCAGTGTGAAACACAGTATTACCCACAGTTAACCCAAAAAACAGGACCTGGAAAATAACCCAGATTAAACAGGAATATAATCCGGTTTAAACTTAAAGCTATGCAATCAGCAGGAAAAAAGGCACTCCAATCCGCAGCAGGATGTCAACGAATACGAAGGGTCGAACAGAAAGGCCGGAGTTGTCTACTGAAGTCAGTCCAAAAGAGACGTAGTCATCATCGTGAATCCAATCCAGGTCGAAGAGGGAGAAGCCAGCAAACACGATAATCCAGTCTAGGTCATACACAGAGCCAAAACGAAGAACGGCAGCGCAGCAGCTAATGCATAAGATCAACACAAAGGCAGTCCAGAGAAAACCCCACAGTTCCAACCCCCGTAGCCATAGATATAATATTATAATTATATTATTATAATATTATTATTATATTATTATAATTATTATAATTATATTATAATCATAATGTTTGGGAAGACTTCTGTGGATGTAAGTTTAATCCGGGTTTATAATTATAATATTATATATATTATAATTATAATATATATAATATTATAATTATAATCCAGATTAAACTTACATCCACAGAAGTTTTCCCAAACACGTCTTCCCAAACAGCTCTCAAGGACACATGAATACCCATCAACACCTTGCCGACTGCAAGGAACCCCATCTCCCAACCCCACTTTTATTCACAAATCATCCTCTGAACTGGAACCAGCCGACACCCTGTTACCAGCTGAAACCCCTTGCCCCAATTCCTCCTCAGAACTGGAATCAGACAACGCCCCACCAGACCTCCTTTCAGCTGAAGCCCTTTGCTGATCCCTCCAGTCTCTCCATCTTCTATCCAGACCCATAACTCCCCAAGACTCAGCCGGATCCCCACTGTGCCAACCAGAGAACCCCACAAATGTGTCACTACTTGTGGGCTCTTCACAGACGTTCTGAACCTCCCGCACTTTAGTCCAGTCCATTTCTCCATCCTCTGAACTTGCCATACCACTCTCCTCAGTCCCAGACCCATAATTTCCCCCCTCCCTCCTAGAACAGCATTTCCAAATGAGGTCGTAATTCCAGGAACTACTTGAAGGCACGCAATAATAACAACATATCACACCTTTATCAGAATATCAGTTGCAATTATTACTTATTGTATTGCATGCAGTTGACAGATATGAAGGTGTTAAACACCTATTTGATAGTGCCACGTGATACTTGCACAATGTGGGTATTTACATGTATATAGGTTCAAGTACGGTATGTAACAACGTCTCTGATGACATCCTCGCCCATGCCGGCATCCTCTGCTGCATTTTTATGTAACAATGTATGTGCACATTTGTGTCTCATGCCTTTGAGTTGCACCTATTTGATTAATGGCAATCCCATGCATTGCGTAGGGTTTTTGTAAGGTCAGGAATACCCAGAGGTGGTTTGCCTTTGCCTTCCTTTGAAATATACCCCACGGCATCTGTTATAAACTCAAAGAACCTTCGAGTTGGTTCAGAGATAGTCCCAAGGGTCATCCAGTCCATACCACACCTGCTATGACGGGAAACACTATCAAAGCACTCCTGACAGATGGCCATACAGACCTGCAGAGAAGAAGACTCCACTAGACTCTAAAACAGCATGTTCCGCTGCCAAAAAGCGCTTACAGTCAGAAGGTTATTCCTAATGTTTAAGTTGAATTCAGTTGAATTTGAATCCATTCTTCCATTGGGTTGCTGTGAGGTTTTCAGGTTGTATGGCCATGTTTTAGCAGCATACTCTCCTGACATTTCACCTGCATCTGCTAATGGCATCCTCAAAGGTTCTGTTGGCAGTGAAGCAATTGGCGTATGTGTGTGTGTATATATATGTAGCTATATAAATAAAAATGTAATGTTCATTTGTGGGATTAACATAACTCAAAAACCACTGGACGAATTGACACGAAATTTGGACACAACACACCTAACAGTCCAATGAGTGTCCATCACCCATAAACACACACACTCACAAAACCACAGCTGAACAGACTAAAACCCCCCAAAAATACACCATATATACATCCACACATACACTCATATACATATGCACATATTCACACACACACGTATATATTTGCACAAACATACACAAATACATACATACACATACATACATGCACACACATATACATATCCACATTCATACATACATATAAACACACAAATATGCATATAGACAAGCACACACATATACACATATAAACACACAAATACACAAATATATACACACATATATACACAAATATATACACACACATACACAATATGCATGTACACATATAAATACACAAATATATACACCCATATATATACACCCATATATATATATATATATATATGCAAATACACATATATACACAGATATATATATACACACACATATACACACACA